ATGCCCAGTGCTCTTTACAACTTCAAGGTCATCGGAAACAAGGAAGGTCGGAGGAACTGCCACAGCCAAGAGCAGCCTAGAGAGACTTGAGAATTAAATGCAGAGTGGATGGAAGCCTGGGACAGAGAAGGACATCAGGTAAGAATAAGGGACTGTGAGTAAACTGTGGATTTCAGTTAATAATAGTATGCCAATATTTATTCATTAATCATAACAGATGTGTCACATTAATGTAACCTGTTTATAAAGGAGACATTGGACACAGGGGTAGGGGTAAAACCTTAACTCCTTAGACTATCCGTTCACTTTTTTCTTTAAATTTAAAATTGTTCTGAAAATTAAGGGTCTCTAATTAATTAAAGAGGGTCTAGAGGTTAGAGACAGAAGTAGGAGACTCCCTCTCTTGCCGGCCTTGGATAAACAAACTTTCACGAGCTCCACAGCGGCAGGGAAATGAATTCTCCCCCTGACTTGATAGCCTTGGCTCAGGACCTCAAACTTCAGATGAGGCCCAGCCCCAGCTTCAACTCTGATCCTAGTTCTTTCTGTGAGATCCTCAACAGAAAACCCGGTTAAGCCAGGCATGGAATTCGGATCCACACAACTTTTTGACATAGAAGCATTTATAGTTTTAAGCTGCCCAAATAAAATTAACCAAAATCAAAATATAAGAACAAACATTTTAGAATGAATGAATGTGCTGCAGAAAATTTTAGTAATTAAAATGTGGAGCGTCCCTCAGTGTCTTCATGGGAGGTCAAGGGAGCTGTCCTGAGGGAGAATCTTCCAGGTGGAATCTGAATCAGGGGGAGGAGCCATTCATGAGGTCTTATGGGGGAAGCTCTGCAGGAAAAGGCATCAGCCAGCTACAGGGCCTTGAGGTCAAAGTGTGTGTTCCAGAATAGAAAGGCAGTCCGTGTGGCTGCAGGGGCATGAGTGTAGGGGAAGGAACAGGAAAGGAGGTCCGAGAGGCAGTATCAGCCAGATTATAAAGGGCCCTTAAAGAAGGGTAAGGAATTTGGGTTTTAAGTTCCACTGGAAGCCACTGGACTATTGACAGCAGAAGAGAAGAATATTTGATTTATTGTTGTTTTTCTTTCTTTCTTTTTCTTCTTTTGAAGTGATGCTAACTTCTCTGTGCGGGACTGAACCCAGAGTGGCTGGAGTGGAGCTCTCGAGCAGACAGGTAGAGGCTCCAGCATTAGCCTAGAGAACGGATGGAACACTTCCAGCAGGAGGGGTGTGGAGGGCCCTGGCTAGGGCGGGGCATGGCTTGGCTGTCCAGACACGCAGACCTGAGTCCACAAGCTACACCAGCAAGGGAATCACAAGTGACCAGAGTCGTCACATGCCTCCTCAGCTTGCTGTCTTTCCCTGTGTCATCCTGTTCCTGAGCTTCTGCATATCACTGATGAATCATCAGGACAGTTGCTGCCACCCAAATGGAGCTGTGCCAGTCTGGGCTAGATCCTCCCTGGAGGCTCTGCCAAAAGGGAAACTGGATCCCACCGGCCACCCCCAGCCTCCAGGCTTGACGAAGCTACCCTGCTTAATTAATTACCTCCTCTGGGTTGAGCATTAATTAAACAATTTGTTGCTAGTTATTTCACGGGATGCCAGGTGCCCTCTCTTTAACCCAGAAACAGTGAAACCTTGACCGGAGAAGTGCCCTGTGCAGGCGGCCCGGCTTCCTCTGGAAAGGAGACGGGGCTGTGAATAGATGCTTCCGTGTTTATTTCGGCCCTGGCAGCTTCACCTAAAGTCACCTGCAATTCCATCTGTGATTCTTCACTCCAAATGTCCTTTTCTCAGTCTTGCTGCTGCTTCCTTTCCTCCTGCTGGCCACACCCATGCCCGGCCAGCTCCAGAAGCTGCTGCAGGTAGTCCCCACCTGCGCATCCCATTTGCAGCCCGATCTGAGCCCTTGGCCATGTGTCTGTGTTCAGCTGCAGACTGTAAAACCCTAACCTGGGTGAAAGCTTAGGCCGTGGGGCCTTTTTGTTTCACTCTGTGGGGAACACCTGCAGTTTGGTGACTGATGTTTTGCTGTGTCTGGGAGGTGGCTGTAGAGGGTGGCTTGCTGTTCAAGTTCTTCAGCAGGTTGACAATGGGAGATTAACTCCTAGAGGTGCTCAGAGGGTTGGTGCTGACATGTCTCTGACATACGAGGTTCTGTGGTTCCAGGCCACACTTCTGGGATGGCGTCCAGCCTCTCAGATTAGCTCTCACAGCTGATCAGGGCCTGGAGGCACCACCTTTCTGCCTGGATCTGTTTCCTCCCTAGTTCCCAACTAAGCCAAGCTCATGGGTCAGCAGATGGCAGCTGCCCTGGGCATCTGGACTCCCAAGTCTGTGTCTACCCCAATTGGAAAGGACTCTAATTTGAGAAGGATGAGAGTGCCTTCACCCCACCTCCCCAGCTTCATCTTCCAAAGAAGACCATCATTCAAGGGGTCAGCAGCTAATGGCTCTGTTCTCTAGCCCCTTCTGTTACTGCCTGGCCTGAAGGTATCCACGAGCATGTGGACACCACTTCCCTCCTGGCTGCTTGCAGGAGGACACTGCTTCACCTAGGGTCACGGATGACAAAGCTCTAGGGTGAAGGAGAAGCCTAGGCAGCCTTTGGGTCAGATGGATTCACTCTGGCCTGGATGGCCTCCAATTATCAAGAAAGAGCTGTAACAGCAGATCCTGAAAGCTCATTGTCACACTGACACTATCAGAAAGTATGGTTTCGTCATTAAAAAATACAGGGCAAGTCCAACAAAAGCTGACTGACCTGTCCCCCACCCCCCCATAATCAGGGCTTGGATGGCCTTTCCAGCAATAACAGGCCCATTAGTACCACCCTATCTTTTGTTGCATAAGGCTTGGAGGAACAATCATGGAAGGCTAGAGAAAAAAAATACACACACACACACATCACATGTTTTATATATATATATACATATATATATATATATATATTTTTTTTTTTCATGAGATGCCTTGGCCAACCAGTTGTCCCTAGTACCATACCATATTGGAGCTAGAAAGTACTCTAAGGTTCACTTGTTCCACCCATCTCTGGCTCTGTGTGCACAGGCAGACCACCAGAAGCTCTGCTTGGGACCCAGTATCAGTGTTTTGTGAAAACTCTTCAGGCAGCTCTGACATGCAGCAGGTGAGCACCACTCGGGGCAAGCAGGAAGCAGGGCTCTCATTCTGCAGCCTGCAGGGAGGGGCTGCAGACTCAGAATCAAGTTTAGCCAGGGCTTTCCGACTGTTTGGCCAGAGCCCCAGGCTTCTGGGAAGTGCCTCGGCAGTGGATGGAAGCTTCCCACTCTTTTTCTTCCTCAGCCCTTTGGGAGGTGTCCCAGTGACCTCACCGAAGTCACAGCTTTTGGCCCATCCAGGGTCACCCAGTTCTGACCTGCTTATTGTCTGACGTGCAATGTGTGGCCTGGTCAGAAAGGACAGGCTAGCCAGTTGCATCTGGCTGTTGGTTGCAAGCTCACTGAAGCTGCCCAGAAAGAAGTTCTCCAAGAACGGAAAGGCCCCAGGCTTAGCACCTAGGCCAGCTCTGAACCTTGTGCCTACCTGAAGGGAAGAGGACAGTGGAGAACTTGCCCAGGAGCCAAAGAGGAGGAGATGAGAGAGAGCCACCCCTGGGGATTCCTGCTCTGCCTGAGGCCTATTTGCTCAGCTTTTCTTGGATTCCTGGGAGCCCTCTCTAGACCCTCAGGAAAGCCCTGTTTTACTGGAGCTGTCTTTATATACCCAAAGAAGACTCAGAGAGAGGCATCACTACAAACAGAGCCACTCCACTTTTATCTTTTTACATTTGGAGGTCCATGTAAAAGTTGAATTTCTCCTTGGAGAACCTCCTCTTTCCTTTGGCACAGAATGCATGTGCTTCAAGGGAACGGGGAACTTTCAGGCTCAAGCTGATCCTGTAACGTTCTCCTCCTCCCCCCAAAGCAGAGCTCAATAGGCTCCAGAGATCTCTGTGTACTGAGAGGACAAGTTCCCTTTCCCAGCTCGACCTGCAGATAAAGAACTAGCATGGTCCATTTCTTCTCCTCCCACCTCTGCTCAGAAACCCAGAACCTGGCTGTTCACAAAAGAGACCTGAGCCGGACATTTATTCGTGTGGATACCTGCAGCCTAGCTGACATCTGTTATCTTGTATAAAACTCATCTTCCCTTCTTTTCACAAATAATTCTAATTCTCTCTCTCTAAGCCCATTTCCCCTCTACCAAAGTCCACACAATTCATCCACTACCTTTCTCTGAGCATCCCAAACTGTAGCACTGGATGAGACTCAAACCAGGAGACCAAAAAGCACATTCTAGCTTTTCAGAGAAGCAAGAGGCACAAGTGGACACTGGATGAACTTTTACTGCTCACAGACAGGATACCTATTCCTATATGGCTATACAGTCTTCCTGACATACAGCTCCCTTTAGGGAACGATGGTTGGCTCTATGGTTGTGATAATAATAGAGTAAGGGGGACAGAGGCAAGAGAGTGTGCAGCCCTGTCCCACACCACCTCATTGTAAATGGGGGAAATTAAGACCATGAGTCAAGGATGAACATAGGCACTTGGAGAGGAAGCTAGCTGCCCAGAGTGCACCCGCTTCCTTCATCCACATTGAAGCCCAAGGCCCAGGTGTCTAACATGCCCAGGTACCTTCTAGGTTCATGCTTCTTCCAGGTCCCAGATCTTTATCTGCCATAACATAAGTCTCATACCAGAGTGTGTCTCTTCCATAGCAGGCAGACCCCTTCCCCACAGGGTGGGGTACTGTGCCTTCTCTGCTTCTGCATCCCCAACAGCTGGCTCAGTGGCAAGTGGGAGGGAGGAACTCAGGCAACGTCTGCTGAGCCAAGGGAGGAGTGAGGGAGAAGAGCTCTGCCAAGTCATGGCTGTCCTCCACGCCTCTCACATTCTCCCAGAACTCCAGGAACCAGGTCCTTTTTTTGTCCCTACCGCATCCCCACCCCTGTGGCCTTACCTCCCATGAGGAAGAGAAGCCCTGCCACATACTGCATAAGGCCTCGGTCCCAGCAGCAGCCCAGCACACCGATGATCCAGCCAAAGAGGATGATGGCCACCGCCATGCCCATGAAGCCGGCCGTCATTCTGCGCAGGTCTGCGGGGAACAGGAAGGCAGCAGTCAGCATCAAAGTCTGGGTCTCAGAGTCAGGGGCACCCTAGCCCTGGGGTAGGAAGGAGGCAACCTGCTCTTCTCAGACAGGTTTGTGTAACCCAGCATCGTTGGCAGAGGAGAGAGTCCCCCGATGGGAACTCTGACCTGTGCACAAATATGCTAGGCACAGGGAGAGCTCATCATAATACAGTTGTCATTGCTTGGACATCTCGTTTGTGCCAGGCCAGGGCTGCCCTCCCCGTGCATCTATCTCAACTTTCAGAGACAAGTGCTGACTTAATCCCTCTCTGTACAGGAACAACTTGCTAAAATGCATGTTGGTAGTAACTACTTACTGAACAGGGACTCAAACTCAGACCTATGTGGCCAATCCAGTATTTGTCAGCTTCTCAGAGAGGTAAGAATCCAGGAGATGGGCTGTTGAAGCTGAGCAGGGCCTTGGCAGTCGGGTTGCCCCTGCCAAGGCCTGCCTCCCTTCTTGCCAGGGTCTGCTGGTCTCTCTGAGAGGCTGCTGGGAGGAGAAGCTGCTGATTTAGGGGCTTCCTTCCCTTCCAAACTGGCTCCATGGCTTGGTCTGGCTGCAGAGCCAGAGCCACACTGCCTGCCCTCTGTCTGGGCCCCTGGAGCAGTCCCCTTTCTCAGTTCCTCCACCCCTCCACCCTCAGGTCAGCTCTGTGTTCAGGGTCAGGACGTTCCCTGTTCCAGGCCTCCCTGACCCATCAGATGCAGTCCACAGACACAGATGGAAAGACAGCATTCTCAGCAGGAGGGAGAGGGCAGAGCTTCTGCCATAGCAGAGCTGGTCACTCAGCACCTTGCTCAGCTGGGCGTCCTCCCTGGCTCTGCCCTCCAGTCTGCAGAGCTGACCACAGCCATTGCCACGTTCCCTCTCGATGGGCCTGCTCCCCAGCACACTTCCCACTCCGTCCCTAGAACAGGATTCTTACTTCCTCCTGGGAAGCACCCCACCCCTGCCTTGCTGGCCGCTCCTTCCACCCAACACCCACCCACAGCTCCTTCTCACCTGCCTACACGGGAGCTCAGGCACCAGCCCCAGCCTGCCCCATGGGGCTCCAAAGCAGAGCAAAGCCATTTTATCCACCTCTGCCCCAGGGCACAAGTCACCACCCACCAACAATGCAGGGCAGCCTGGAGGACCCCAGGACAGTGTCCTCTCAAAGAAAGGGTGATATGTGAGCAGGGCGGGGAAGACACCAGAAGCAAATGATGTCACCACCACCTGATGGGAGCACACACCTCCAGCACACCCATCTCTTCCCATCCCTGAGAAACCAGTGCCCTGAGGATTTCTGCAGGGAATCCCTTGGGGTCTGCCTACCTCTTGAGGGAGCTGAGGAAGCCCACCCTCCCCTCCTCCCCCTCTCCAGCCACTCTGTGGAGAACCCAGAGCAAACAAAAAGATCCCCGGCAGAGTTTAGCTTGAGGCTCCTCTGTCTGCCCGAGATCTGGTCTTTTCTTCCTTACATGGAGGATCAGACACTGTGGATCCCCAGCCCAGGGAGGAAGCTGGCTAGGAGGGAGATGTGTGTTGGGGACAGAGACTCCTTTACCTTCCAGGGCTGACCTGCATGCCTGTCCCAGCCACATAGAAGTAATACTTGTTACTGTCACCTCTGGGAATTGCCAAGGATGCCAAATTACCATGCAGCACCATACGGATTGCTCCTGTCACCAAATGAGTCATGTGAAGCTTTGTTGGAGCATCCTTCGATTACAATGCTAAAACGTGAGTCCAGCTTCCTGCACAGTCAGCCACAGCCAGCCCAAAGTAAGGGAAGGGGGAAGGGACATTCCTGCCAGAGAGGCTGTCCTGTTTACAGACTCACCGACAGGTGTCCCTTCTCTCCCAGCTGTCCAGATGCACTCACCCCCAGACCCTTGGTTCACCACAGGGACTGAGCTGCCTCCTTTCCCCACAGGTGCCCATTAGACACATGGATCCAACTGGATTGATTCTTGGAAACAGGATACTCTGTGTATCCGATGCTTCTTTACTCTCTGCTCTTCAAGGGCAGGAGGAGGTGGGGAAGGGAAGAGAGGCCAGCTGGTTTTCCCAACCTCCCAAAGGGAGGTTTATACCCTCTTCCACAGTTGATATCAAAGGTCAGCACGTTCTTATCCTGGGCCCTTCCCTTGGTACAGGAAGGTTTAGGGACAGGGGATCCTGTTCCCTTTGGTGGCACTAGCTCTATTGAACCCCTCTCTGCTGTAAGATGGACTCTCACTTGGCTATGCTCATTGGAAGGCCTGCAAAGGCCCCCCAGACTCTGCAGACCTGCAGGAGCAATTAAGTGGACAATGGATCACATCAGGTCAGTACACTTTGTCCAAAGATGGATGGAAAGGCAGGCTGAGCAGGAAAACAAAAGGGAAATGCTAATCAGGAAAAGGATGGAACGGGAGGCTCTCATGCTAAGTGAAATAAGCCAATCCAAAAAACCCAAAAGCCAAATGTTCTGATATGTGGATGCTAACTCACAAGAAGGGCTGGGGAGGGAAGAACAGAAGTTCAGTGGATCAGACAAAGGGGAATGAAGGGAAGGGAGGGGGAAAGACAGTAGAATGAACTGGATATAACTTTTCTCTTCTCCTATATGAACACACAACCAGTCTAACTGCACATCATGTACCACCACAGAATGGGAAGTCATACTCTGTGTATGTAAAGTATGTCAGATACACTCTACTATCATGGATAGGTAAAAAGAACAAATACAAACAAAAAAGGGGAAGGGGAGAGTTGTTGGAAGATGAGAGCAAAGTGTTTTACTTAGAAGAAAACAGCGGGGGAAGCAGAAAGGCGGGAAATGGAGAGAATCATTCCTCTTCCAAAAGTTTGGGACATCACTAGTTCTTTGGGACTGCTCAGGGTGGGACTGGTGCCCTCTCACCCAGAATAGACACACTAACCTGTCTCCCGCAGGGATTTGTCAACAGAAGCCTAGGGTTATGCTAAGTTGCTGATCTGGAAACAAGGATGGAAACCAGAGGCCCCACAGGAGTATTTCCACTGACCCAGGAAGATCCCCACATCCCGCTGTGTGTTTGAGTTTGCCTGAGCCGTGCTCCAACAGCTGGCTATTTTGTCCTCAGACCTACAGAGTGACTCAGGCAAGCTGCGGCACTACCTCATAAAGTAGGTAGGACAAGAAATGTTCCTATTTTACAGATGAGGAAGGAAAGATCCAAAGATGTTAGATGATTTATTGACAGTCTCAAAAGCAGTGAAAAACTACAAGAAGAATTAACAACTGTATTATTAAGTGATGAGAAAATAAAATAAAAAATGGAATTGAAGACCTGCTTGGTTACAATAACACATTGAATCAATGTTATCTAGCAGTTTTTCCTCCCAAACCATTTTAAGAGAATTGTTAAAAAAAAAAAAAAAAACAGAAATTCACAAGGATGGGGAAAACATTCAGAAAGAAATTGTGACCACCACAAGAACATTGAAGCTCTGGAATTGACAGACTCCGTAACTACTTAGTGGAAGGGCCAAATCTAAAGCCAACATCAAGGAGCTGAAAACGCACCTGCAGAGTCCCCAAAGGTTCCCGAAGGTCTCTTGGGATCATGAAGTCAAGCACAGGGGAGGGAGAGCAAACAAGGATTTGGTGGAGGTTATTGGAAAAGAAATTAGATTCCTAGATTCCTGACCCACTTTCCACACCACTGAGGGACACCTCTGTGCCCCCACCCCCAGGGACATAAAACAGAGTACCTAGGAATGGGGTCAATATGCTCAGGTGAGAGTGAACCAGCACAGTTAGGGGTCAAGGTATTGGACAAGAAATTCACAACCCGACCCTCAGGGGGTGTTTGACTATGTGTATACTTGACATTGAACCTCACCATTGAGAGTCCAACTCCTCCACCTTGGCTCCCAGGCCTTTGCCCTCTCCCAGAGATTGGGAGTGACCCTTGCCCCATGCATGGTCCCTCAGACCATCAAAACGAAGCCCTAAGTTGTCTTGGGATTCCCCAGCTGGCTCAGCGCTCCTACGCAGCTCTTTAGTACCCCGCTTTTTAACACGAGCACACAACCAATTATCTCCAGATATCTGAGAACAGCCTACAAGTTGGGGGGAAACGACGTGGGAAACTCTGCAGGGAGAATAAAAACATCATTCAAAATTATTATTAACATCCCCAGAGAGACGACAGCAGAAAGATATTGCCTCCATGAAATAAAAACAGAATGCTATTAAAAAGGACAAGCTGGAGAACAGAAACAATACCTTGAAATAAAATAATGGAATCAAAATCTATGAAGTTTATGTTATAAATTCAATTCTAACTCACGTATTAATGGTCCTATCATGCTCCAAAAGACTTCAGGAGGCTTACAAACTGTTGAAAAATGGCAGGAAAATGAGGAAATGAAGAAAAGGAAGATGAAGCCAGATATTACATTCACACACAAAACTTGGTCCATCAGCTCGTAGGAAGGTATTATACCTCATATTTGAACCTGGAGGCATTTGTACATTATTTCCATTGTTTTAAAATCTGTTGCTTTTTTGTTCGCATTCGAGTGAGTCCCAGCTGCCACTCTGTCTGTGGATGGCCACATGCAGATGGCACCAATGTGGCCCATCTGCCTTGACCTACGTGTCAATCTTCTCTCTTGAGGAGTAGAAATGGCCATTTAATTCTCTGTGATTTCTCACTGTGCCCAACACAGTACATAGCTTGTATTTCTCTCCCCCATCCCTTCCTGCCATTCTGGGAAAAAGAGAGAGAAAAATAAAAAAGGATAGAAAAAGAAAAGGAGAGGTAGAAAACCCTAATTAACCTAACTCTGAAGATTTGGAAAAATATTTCCTGGGGCTGGCCTAAGTAATCTCATTGGAAAGAGTCTTGTACGTTAAGTTTGACTCTGCAGGCAAACGCCTAGATGAAAAAAATCTTCTCACCAGTCGTGTTGGGTTTGAGTCCATTATCTGTATTCCATGACC